ATTTATTCATTTATTCATTTATTCATTTATTCATTTATTCATTTATTTATTTATTTTCCCCCCTGTCTATTTATTTTTTACAGAACTTAATAAACCTGATTAGTAATGATATCCACTCAGGAAGGAGGGAAGCGAGAAGACCCACAAATTTTACCTGCTGACTCGGACTTTGAAGTCCAGCTTTGAAAAATGCGGATTCTAATGGGAAATTCACTAATCAAAGCGTTTTTTTCCCTGTTTTTTTTCTAATTATCATAACCTACAGGGAGGGCAACAATTCATGTTTACAAAGACCATGAGGAAAAGTGGAACTCGATCAGGTCCTCAGGGTTTTGGGTAAGCACAAAAGAGAGTCGGATCTACTTCTGTGACGTCACTGATTCCCACACTCAGCTGCAACAGCATCATCCACCGGTCCCAGTGGGTTCAGACCTCTGCACTCAGCGGGTTTTGGATTTGGAAACAATGAACAACTAGTTTTGCATGAAATAATACAAAGATGACTAAGGACTGCCGTTTAATGGTAGGTAATCAGTCTAAATCAGTGTTGAAGAAGAGGGGAACAGTTTAAATCTTCAGCAATCTAGAGGAAAAGTCCCACTTTTCACACAGCTTTCCACACACTTTAAAATGAGAGCATACCAAAGCACGTTTCATACGAAAAAGAACTGCAACACAAACATTTTTCCCATTGAAGAAAAGTTGAAAAGAAGGAGAATTAAAAGAAGCCCAACTTTCTTCATCAAACCACAAACCCATAAGTCACAGCTGCCTAGATAACAGGAACAGGAAGTGGAATAATAATGGATAAATGTACAATAATGGAATGGAAAATCAATAATATTATTAATAAATCAATAAATAATAATGGATGAATAACCAAAGAATTTGTTATGAATGTTTTCAGTGAGGAAGTCAAGAATGAATCAGCAAAACACAATCAGAAAATGTTAAAACTGGATTTAATAGAGACTAAAAAGACAAGTAGGGGTTAAATATTAATGATGAATACTAATAAAAGATATTCGGTTTAAAGTAATACCATACGGTAGCTCTTACCCTTTCTTTTAAAGAGAGAAACTCTGTCAGGTAACATTCTGTTTGTGGCTCTGAAGTTTGTCAAATCAACTGCTTCATCTTACGGCAGAAGGGGTTACAACCTGAAAATGTCTTTTAAATCCAAATTTACTTTATCGTAAAATAATCTAAATGCTGATCCCGGCAGAATGTGAAAGGAGTGGTCTGGAACTCCAGCATTGTCCTGACACGGTCCTTTATATAGGATATAAAGTGAATGTAAAGCGGGAAAAAATTATGTTTTGTTCCAGTAAAAGCAGCACCTTACCATGACTTTAACCGTCAGGACGCAGATGTTCCCCACCACTCCCATCAGCATCTCCACAGCCAGCACGGCCACCAGGAGCCAGCGCTCGGCCTCCGGCCACTGGACCTCAGCGGACACGCTGCCGTTGACCTCGCTCACTGCCAGAACCCAACATGGAAAAGTGTCAATTTACAACCCGCTTCTCCACAAAGCGGCACTGCCCACAAGGGGCCTTCGAACAACTTCGGATCTTTAGTTTAACAGGGTAAAAGATTGTCCTTTAACCCTTCAGATATTGCAGAATAATCCCCCCCGAACAAAGAGCATTTAGGAATGAAGCTGGCCGTGCTTACTTGTGTGTTGAGCCTCCGGTCCTCAGCCTCCGACAGCGGGAGGTTTTGTGGAACGGCTCTAAGATGAAGGTGTCATCAAAACCTTTTCAATTAAAATCCACACGCTCCAACAAACTCATCTCACAGGCTCAGGTGCACCTTTGTGTCCCTTTAGTTCAGCGGCTAATCTGACTTTGCTGCTGCAATCTATTACTGAGGGGTATTAAGAGGGGGGTGAAGCTATGGTCTTCTTAAAATTATAAATATACCATTGCATGACTATGAAAAAATGGATCTTCTGTGTCTACGTAGGGATTTTTGTAAGAAATCTTAAGTATTTGAATATTTTTCTGGCCATTCTACTAAAATAATAACTTTATTGAGGGATGAATAAAGGAATAAGATTATATGCTTTAAACCGGATGTCACCTGAGTTTTGGTAAGGGGGCTGAAAGAATATAATAAACCTTGCCTTAAAAACCTTATAAAAGATAGATAAACTCAGCTCAGAATTAGCTATGTATATTTTGAAAAGTTGCATATGTGTGGAACAACATTCAGTGTTGAAATATGTATTTATGTTTGATTCCATTTTGGAGACATACAACAAGCAAATGGCACCCATGACCCAATTAATGACCTGACATTTGGCAGACTCGCCATAAGTCATCCCGGTAGGTGGCAGCGTCGTAAAACACAGCGTCGTAAAAACCCAAAGAAGAAGAAATACCCCACTACCATTGGACAGTAACATCTACGTCATCTACGTCATTACGTTGTGTAACTTCCGGTGATCGGCGCGTCTCTCCTTGTTGTCGCTTGCGACGTTTCGGTAAGTTCATAATTTCAGAAGATAGTAATTCCTCGCTTCAGTCATAGTTTGAGGCTCCACGGGAAAAAGGATTAATTATCCCGCTGTAGCTCTCCGGGAACGTGACTGTGCTAAAATGAGCCCCAGTGACCGTTATTCAAACGCCCTTGACAGGCGGCGCGGCCACCGGTCTCCTGCTCGGGGCTCCTGCCCGGTACGACCAAACTTTACCGGGCAGCCGTCCACCCAGAAGCTGTGTGAGGGTTTCTATAAATGTGGCATTGGGTTTGAATGCGGGAGTTTGCAACTTGAACCAAAGCTATCCCGTAGAAAAGGAGACGTTTCAAAGGGTTACGTGACCGGGCGGTGGGCTCGTTAAATGTACCGGGTTGTTTACAGACCCTCAGCTTTAGTTCCATGTAGGACTTTCTGGTATATATAGTCATATGTTAGTAAAGAGTAAGTGTAATACGGTTGTATTGTGTTAATAAAACTGTGTTTTTGTTCTAGCTGGCTTAAAAGGACAGCCTGTATAGTTGTTTCCTCAGTATTTATGTTTCAGCTGATATGTCTCCTTTTATGTACAACACACTAGCAAAAATGTGTTTGTTTGTTGAAACAAACCAACAGATCAAGCAGGTAAAGGGTTAAGGACCTCTAAGCTGTCACCAGCCTGTTTACCATCAGAGACTGGTTCTCTAACAGCCTACTTCAGACATCTCCTGTTCATGTCCTCCTTTTCAAGTGGGAATTTTCATCATTTTTATCATGTCTGTTAAGCAGGTTCACGAACAGTTAAGCATAGAAAGCATCAACTCACCATGTCACTTTCACAGTGAATCCCCACTTAGTTGATTTATTAAGGGGAACACTTCACACTTCTTCCATCCAGAGGCTGAGCCCAGTGAGCCCGTACACACTCCTGACTGAGTCGTTTGTTTGCTTTCAGACTCAAAGACGTCATGGCTGCCCCCTTTCGGTTACTGTACTCCGCGTCACGGCCAGGTAAGATCCACCGGCTCGCTCCGTGGAGTTATCGGGTTTGATAGGTGTCTTGTTTAAGGGTTGAGCTGCAGCTCAGCTCGGGTTTCAGAGGGAGTAATCCTATTTCCTCTGAGAATGTGGTGAGAATAAATCATCTCTGAAAAACAAAGCTGACTTTCTCTGTTCTGGTAGTTCCATGTTGGATTATCAGATGGAAAGTTGTGCTGTTGTATTTGGATAGTAGCTCAAAAGGGACAAAACACCAGCTACACGGCAGGCTTTTGGCATTTAGGAGACTCACTTCCTTAGAGAAATGGGGAGTTTATCCAGTATACGACTAAAAGCGCATCATCATTTATCCGAACACGTTTAATTTTTCTGCACAGGCACTCTGATGGCCAGCCAGAGGTCCTTCAGTGTGTCCCTGCAGAGGAGTGGATTCAGTAAGTAGCACACTCCGTCACAGATCACATGTACGCTCGCCCTCCTCGTGGCCCAACGGCTGCCTGCTCACTGGGAGAGATTTCCTGATGTTACTGATGTGTTCTCGACCCTCTTCCCCCCTGCAGAGTATGTGAACGCCCAGGAGATCCCCACAGACATGAAGTCCATCACAGACCGGGCCGCGCAGACTCTGCTGTGGACCGAGCTCTTCAGAGGTCAGAGGAACCGCTTTCTGGGGAGCCAACGTTTAAAAAAAGGCCGCAGGCCCAGGCTCTGTCAGCCGATGTGTGTTTTTTCCGAGGAGTGGAAAAGCTCAGTGACGTTCTGATGTGTCTCCCGCCCCGTTTCGGGGATGAACCAGGTCTGGGGATGACCATGAGCTACCTGTTCAGAGAGCCCGCCACCATCAACTACCCGTTCGAGAAGGGGCCCCTGTCGGCGCGCTTCAGAGGGGAACACGCCCTGCGCAGGTGAGGGCTGGGGGGGGGGGCACACGAAGCGTCCAAGCCTGACCAAACCCACGCACGGGGTCCCTTTAAAGCAGTGGTCCCCCAACCCCCGATCAGCCGGCACCGGGCCGCCGGACGCCCGAGTAATAATGAATCTTTTCCGTTGTATTTATCCTCCGAGTCTGGTAATCTTTTATTTTGTAAAATGTTTTATTTTGGAAAAATGACCGGATTCTCTGGGTTACATCTTTGTCACTTGAGTGCCAAAAATTTAACCCACAAGTTAGAAAAACTAGTAAAAAAACAGACGTCTTTGGAAAGTTTCAATGCGAAGGGGTAAAGGCCCAAATGAAGAGACAGAGGAAGACCCGACTACCTCGAAGAAAATGAAAGCTTTAAATAGACAATAGCAGGCGTTCTACTTGAAATATGGATCTATTGGGACAGACCGAGGCCAGTCTGCTTAATAAGTGGCGAGCGGCTCTCTAATGAGGCGACAAAGCCTTTAAAACTACTTCGCATACGGGATTAAAAGACAAGCCCCTGGAGTATTAATAAAGTTGGATACGAGTACACAGTGGATTCACATTCATTATTATATTCGCAATATCCGTCATAAAATTGTCGAACGTTGACCGGTCCGCAGTGGTAAAAAGGTTGGGGACCACTTCTTTAAAGTGCCTTTGTTTCTGCTCTGAAACGGCGTGCGGGCGGTCGGCGTGTGACGCTAACAAGGTCTCTGACCATCCTTCAACAGGTACCCTTCAGGAGAGGAGCGCTGCATCGCCTGCAAACTGTGTGAAGCCATCTGCCCAGCCCAGGTACACACACACACACACACACACACACACACACACACAGCAGAGACCTGATCACGGGGGGATTCTGTCTGAGGGGCTCCTACACGCTGGGGAACGAACCGGGATGCTAAAAGCTTCCCTCATGGGGCTCCACGGCTACTTGTGGATCTACTTTAAACGGCTCTCTCTCTGTAGGCAGGGCTCCAGAGATTAGGCTTGTCCCGATCCGATATTTGTTTTTTTTTCTTTTCTTTTTTTACCTTGTCCTGTTCAGCATACTGCACACAGAAATGAACCACATCTAAATCGCTATTGCCACCTAGAGGCAACTAGTGGTACTACACATTTCTCTTATAAGTTACTCTTATATTAATTCTGGCACTTACATTTAAACTTTAGTACATGCTCTGATAGGCTCAGACGTGTGTTTTCAGCTCCCACCCGTGCCCTCAGCCTCCCCCTCCCCCCTCCCCCCCTCAGGCCATCACCATCGAGGCCGAGTCCCGCTCCGACGGCAGCAGGAGGACCACCCGCTACGACATCGACATGACCAAGTGCATCTACTGCGGCTTCTGCCAGGAGGCCTGTCCCGTGGACGCCATCGTGGAGGTGAGCGCATCAGAAAAAGCATCAGACAGCCTCTGATTCTGCTCTCTGCCTCTTCTTATTAAGCCTAAAGAGGGCAGAAATTGGGAAATTTTAAGGTAATGTAAGTACACTACCTTCAAATTTCACAATTCTGATTAATCTGCCTACACAAAATAGCAACAAATATTTTTTTTGATAGATTCTTAGCCAATTCTTTGAAGTATTCTGGTTTGGGATCAATGAAATTAGAATTATAAGTCATGAATAAACGTGGAAAAATAAAGAAACTCGTTTTTTCTCAAGGTGTTTTGCACATACAGTGCCCTCCACAATTATTGGCACCCCTGTTTATGATGTGGTTGAGGACTTCTAAAAATTCTCTTTTTAAAAAAACTACAACATAGAACCCAAATGAAAAAAAATAGAAAAATCCAACCTTTTATGTAAATACATTACTTTGGTGGTAAAAATAATATCACACGTTTAGAAAATAAAAAATGTGAAATTGTCCTATTTATACTCCAGGGAAACAGGTAGTCATGAATTACTAATTAAAAGTTCCTAGATACCCTGACCAACTTTAGCAACTACAGCAAAATATATTTAAAGGAAATCAATTACATTTTTCATCATAACTGTTAGGGGTGCCAATAATTGTGGGGCACGTGGTTTCACGTTTTTATTTTCTAAATGTGCAATTATATTTTTACCACCAAAGTAATCTACTTAAATAAAAGGTTGGATTTTTCTTTTTTTATGCATTTGGGTTCTATGTTGTTTTTAAAAAATGGAGCATTTTTAGAAATCCTCAACCACATCTTAAACAGGGGTGCCAATAATTGTGAAAGGCACTGCAAGTGATGTAACAATACAAACCTCTCTCTCTCTTTCTCTCTCTCCAGGGGCCTAACTTTGAGTTTTCCACCGAAACCCACGAAGAGCTGCTCTACAACAAGGAGAAACTGCTAAACAACGGAGACAAGTGGGAGGCCGAGATAGCCGCCAACATCCAGTCCGACTACCTGTACCGATAGGAGGGCTCCCCCCCCACCCCCCCCGGCTGTCAGAACAGCCTAGTGTACAGTTAGCATGCCCCTCTGTCAGGTCTGTACATACTCTGAGAGGTCAGGCTCACTCACACAGACGCCACACGTCTCCGAAGGTGAATTCCCTCTTTTGATATTCTAAATATGCCGTGTGTGTTTCTGATGTATGTATTGTTTAGACAGCTGTGCGATGACACGGTGTGACGGGCGTCCACGCATTCTGCTGCTCCTAACCCCGGTTTAAGCTTCAATAAAAGCCAAACTCTGTCTGAAAACAGCTCCCAAGTGTTCGAGTCTCTGTGACACGGCCGATGAAAACCCTCCGGAATGAATAAAACCCGACAAAACGTTTGGGAGATTGAGTGGAAAAAGGGGTTTATTACTTGAACTCTTTTATTTTATCTTTCAGAAGTGGTTTCTGCTCCGGCTGGCTGTCTGCCTCTTTTATGCGTGTCTTACTTTTCCTCCTCAGCCCCCCCCCCCCCCCACGTCTTTTCCCCCGGGGGAAGCTCTCTGGGAAAAGAAAACGGTTTGTGAGATGTATTCTAAAGCAAAAGTCTGAGTCCATCTGAGGAAATAAGAAATAGAACTGGATTAAAAGGGAACATTTCATGAAGTAAAATGAATCATGGAGCATTTTATCCCCCTCTGGGTCTGAAATAAGACGTAAAGTTTGTCCTTCATACAGCATCTGTATCCCCGAGACAAGAAATTGTCAGACAAAATATGATGAGATCTTCTCTGAGACCTTGAAGGAGGAAAGAACCTTTAAAATCTTCAATTGTGGAAAGTTACCAGAGAGAAATGAAAAAAAGTGATTATACATATATTGATTTCCTTCACAGAGAACACATCAGGCTGCCATAATCAGGATCTTATTTGGTAAACCAGGAATTTGAGTTTGAGGTCACATTAAAGAAGGGCTATTCTTGTCCGGTCAGTGGTCCCTGGATGGGAGCGAGAGTCCAGCTCTGACATGCTGCATCCAAAAAGTGGACATCAGGCTCCATCCTGGCACACAAACTCAGGTTTAGAGGCAAATATTAGCACTAAAGCAGGGGTCCTCAATGTTTTCCAGGCCAAGGACCCCCAAACTGATGGCAAGATGGAGCAGGGACCCCCTAATTATATATATTCTCCCTGGAGATCAATAAAGTATAATAAAGTATATTCAATTGTCTGAAATTGTGTAATATCAAACTGGTCCTATAGTGTGTAAATGGACCTTGTTATTTGGCATTCAATACTAAGATATTCCAATAATACACATTGTTCATATATTCCTGTTTTTACTGTAAACATCTGGTTCTGGTTCCTGGTTG